AAAAAAAAAAAAAAGTAAGGTAGTATCAATTTAATTATTTTAGGAACTAAAAACTGAAACAGCAAAGACACTAACAATTTCCAGTCACAACTACTACATAGCATAATTTGTAGTCACTACTAATACACAGCATAAGTATCTCAGTATATGAGGGAGAAGATCCCTTTAAAAATTCTATTTAAAAATTCCAGCTTCTTGGGACCAGCAGTTAGCATAATGGCTATGTCGCTGAACTCCCACGTAGTCGACCGCGGTTCGAGGCCCAGACCCGGTGGCTTAAAACAGACGCTGGGACCTTGTGCATGCGTGCCCAAGATCCCGAGAGGAGAATGGAGGAGAAGGGACTGCGGCATGGCCATCCCCCCTGGGGGGTGCTTTCTCGCTTTCTGTCTCTCTGTCTCTCTCTGTCTGTCTGGCAAGCGCACGGACCCTATAGCAAAAATCTCTCCAAAAAGAAAAAAAAAAAGGGAACCAGCAGTTATCGTAATGGCTATGTCGCTGAACTCCCACGTAGTCGACCGCGGTTCGAGGCCCAGACCCGGTGGCTTAAAACAGACGCTGGGACCTTGTGCATGCGTGCCCAAGATCCCGAGAGGAGAATGGAGGAGAAGGGACTGCGGCATGGCCATCCCCCCTGGGGGGTGCTTTCTCGCTTTCTGTCTCTCTGTCTCTCTCTGTCTGTCTGGCAAGCGCACGGACCCTATAGCAAAAATCTCTCCAAAAAGAAAAAAGAAAAAATTCCAGCTCCTCTCCATATAAGGTAAATACTAGAGGAGATAACAAAAAGCTGAGTTGCTGAATTTCATTCCATTTCATTCATTTTTAATAATGTTTGCATTCGGACTTCCTTGAGCAGAGGCTGAAAACTGCCAAGCCCTAATCACCAATCCTAGATTAATCCATTATCTCACCCTGTAAATATGTTGGAAGTCAGAATGTGCCTAGATTTTATTATAGGCTTGTAGTTAGATGTCAATCAAAATACTTAAAAGGGGTGAGATTTCCAAGGCTCGTCTGCAGGGGACACATGTTATACTCAGGTACCCCATGCAGGAGCGAACACCAGGCTGGTGCTCACAGAAGGATTCATTAAGTACTGTGACTACAACAGCAAGCCTTGTCCCTCACCAGGTTGGGATCATGCTGAAAGCTGGGCATGCTCTTCCAAGGTCCCTCTGCTTCTTCTCCACTAGACACTGATTTGCTCCATGTATCCAATGTTTACCCCAAAATCCCTGGGGTGAATTATTGGAACGGTTTTGGGGGAGCACTTGGGAAACTTGTCAGCCAACAGTGGAAAGTGTACTTGAAAACTGTCACACTGTCTAAAGAAGTTCTGGGACCAGCAGTTAGCGTAATGGATATGTCACTGGACTCCCATGTAGTTGACCACGGTTCGCATCCCGGACCCGGTGGCTTAAAACTCAGGCCAAGCGCGAGTGCGTGCCTAAGATCCTGAGAGGAGAATGGAGGAGAAGGGATTGCGGAGTGGCCGTCTCCCCTGGGGGGTGATTGCTTGCTTTCTGTCTCTATGTCTCTCTCTGTCTGTCTGGCGAGCGAGCGTATACGCCCTATAGCAAAAAACCTCTTAAAAAAATTTTAAAAAAAAATGTTCTACTCAGGGATACTCCACAGGCTTTCACACTTCCTTGATTTGGAATACATTCCCAAGAGACTGATATAAACAACAGAAAGCCTCCATTATTTTCGTGGTAGACATGAGGAAAATGGGCTGAAAGAAAAGAGGAGATCATAAACTAAGAACCTTTTTATTATTTAAGTTTTGTCTGAAATGGAGATCAAAACTTAGGTACATATGGGTTCCAACTTACTGTAAACCAGTGAAACTCCACTCTGAAAAGCAGAGGGTATTTTTTCAGGTGCTCTTCCTGAGAGTTAAGAATTGTATCATAGAGGGAAAGTGACTTGCTGATTTTAATTACCAAAGTTCTTAAAAATATGTGTACTCCCGGGCTAGCAGGTGGCATGATGGTTAAAGGTGCTGGACTCCCAAATAGCCAACCACAGTTGGATCCCTGACCTGGTGGCTTGCTTTCTCACTTTCTCTCTCTCTCTCTTTCTCTGTCTTTTTTTTTTCTCTCTCTCTCTCTCTAACACACATGTGTCCAGTAGCAAATTAAATAGTGATAATGACAAAAATAAATAATTATTTTTAAAAATATATGTATATTCCACCACTCCCTTTGTGAAGTGTCTTGAAAATTTGGGGATGCAGGTGACCTGGTGGTTGGGGCGGCTGGATTTCCACAAGTGACCTCGGGTTGAGTCAGGACCCCATAGCTTGAAGATCACTCTGGGTGGGTGTGCAGGCGAGCCCAAGAACCCAGAGAAGTATGGAGGAGAAAGGATTGCAGCGAGACCATCCTTCCTGAGGAGGACATCTCATCCTCTCTCTGTATCTCTTTGTCTCTCTCCTCTGTAGCGAGCACACGTGCCCTATGGCAAAAAAAAGACTAAAATTAAAAATAAAATAAAACACGGATGGAACCAATACTGCAAAAGAGAAAGGCCAATTACTTTTGGTGCCACTTTTCCTTCTTCCCTCTTTTTTCTTTCCTTCTTTACCTTTATTCTTATTATTCTTATTTCTTTCCTTTTTTTTCCTGGTAAGTGCTGGAGAAAAGATGGTGTCTACACAGACTAGCACCAGCCCTCGATCCAATAACCTTCTCTGATTAAGCAAAGGCTGAAGAATCGCAAACACGCTGACAACAAACAACTAGACCAGCTTTCGCCTGAACTCCCAGCTTTCTTCCCAGTCTTCAGCCATCGGTCTTCACCGGATTCACAATCGGCATCCGGGAGCGAGAACGCGTCTTCTAGGCCGGCCCAGGTCCAGCCACCCCAGGGATTCCTAGGCCACCCAGCCAGGAGGCGCTGCGGACAAGCCTCCGGGGGGCCGCCGGCAGCCGGCGCCCAGCCCCGGACCTCACCGCCGAGCCCAGCCCAGCCGCGGAGCTCCCAGCTCTGCGCAGCCAGCCGGGGTTACTCTCGGTCATTCCGGCAGCACCACCTCACCCCAGCTTCTCCATCCGTGCCCGGCCAGAAACTTCCCCAAGAGACAAGCAGCAAAGGGCAGGAAGGTGGTGCGAGGAGGGCAGAGAGAAATGAGCCCCCCCGGTCCGGGGTTCCGTGGGCTCTCTTAACTCTCGGTTTTAAAAGAAACAAAACTCGTCCCTCCGCTGCGCCATTGGACACCACCTCAGATGGGCGCACGGAGACTGTAGGTAGGACCCCCAGTTCGAACAAAGCCCCGAGGCTTCAAGAGAGCCTCTGCACAACGGATCCCTTCGGGACACCTCCTACTCGAGTCTTTGGGAAACAAGGACAAAGCGCTCTAGTTCGGGGACGCATAGAGCAGGTCCCTAGATCACAGCCCAACTCAGGCCAGCTTCTTAAGAACGGAGCTGGCGTTGGTCCCGGTGGGTGCCGGTCAACCTGCACCAGAGGAGTTTCCAGCCCGCTCAGGCGCTTCAGAACAAAGGGAAGAGCTTGGTGCCGGTCCCGCCACTGTGCCCCACCCGACCCCGGCAGCAGCGCCTCAGCACGCCCCGACATTCCTGACCCCA